CAAAATGAATAAGAGTAGGATTTGGCCACCACCCGCACTAAATTCAAAATTAATTCCTATCACATTGAAAATATTTAATATGTCCCGTGCCCTCATATGGCCTTACGCAGCTGCGAGCGCTGTAAAACATTTCATCATCATCATCCGGTGCCTTGCCGAATGGCGTGGGCGATCGTGGACCTCCACTTCACTCTGTCTTGCGTTGCAGCAATGGTGTCTGTTGTTTTTGCTGCTCCTAGCCATGTTGTCATCTTGTCCAGTATCTTTTCCCTCTGTCTGACTCTGCCTCTTTCCATCAAACTTGCCTGTTGTTACAATATTCTCCAATGCATTGTGTGTCCGAAGAAATTTGCCTGTCGATTTCTTAAATTCGTCACAAGCTGTCTTCTACAATTTGCTTCAACCAAGACTTCTCCATTTGTTTTTCTAGCAGTCCATGGGATACGTAGCATGCATCTTATGAACCACAATACTTACCAATACAAAAAACAAAACATTTCCTATTTCCACACTTACCATACTCAGACACAGCAGGTTTCTGACTCTCCCTGGCAGCACCTCCCTCTCTTGTGTTGCTCTCTGCAGCATCTCCACCCTCAGTGTCGCTCTCCTCTCGCTCACTGTTCCCCCCCTCCTCCTCCTCCCCCTCATCCTCATCAGAATCGTCCACGTTCAGGTCCTCGAACATGTTAAACGGCTTGATCAAGGTCACCAGCTTGATGAGTTTTTCGCTGCCATTTCTGAAACACATGAGAACTGAGTTTGAGTAAAGTGAAACACACCGACCTGCTAACTGACATTTACTGCAAGGAAAAAGCAAGACAGACAGACAGAAACAACAGAGGGGAAGAAAAGAAGAAGGACCTACCAGTGGAGCCCTTCAACCACCTACACAGAAGGACTGGGTCCTCCAATTGCACAGGCAGAGAAATCGACAAAGAATATAATATTATAGAGTACAGAGAGGGCCCTGAGACAGGTTTGTTTGTTTTAGTAAGGTTTTTACGGCGCTCGCAACTGCGTGAGGTCATATGTCAACAGAGAAGTCCTTACTGGGAATCAGACTTACTCTGCTCACCTCTCTAGCTTCAACAGCACAAAAGTCTGCTTCAACTATCAACATACCGGCCAACATTGCCTGGGCAAAATCTGTAGTTGACACAAATTTTTGTCCTAAAATCTGTAGTTGACCTAAAAAATCTGTAGTAGGTTATATTACCACTTGCCGCATACTTAATTCGGGACCCTTATTAATATTTTGACCCACACATACATGAGTCTGTTTACAACTTCAAACAAATATAGAAAATGACAAAGAGCAAAAAATGACGATAGTAAGGATTAGGAAAGAAAAAGCAGCAGTTCCCTGTTGCAGTTCAGGCACAGTTATGAGCATGACATCGATGAATCAGCCCATTTACAATTCTACTGTGCATAAGAACAAGCTAATGTCGCCTCTTTGGGAAAGGCCTAAAGACACTTCAGTCAGTGGCACCGCCTCGGCCTGAGACAGGAAAAGTGGGGCCAACCCCACTGACACAACAAGGGAAGCAGCACAGGCCAATAGATGAACTGAGCAGGACGGCCCAGAACATAATAATGATAATAATTGCATTAATATAGCGCATATCCATGCTCAAGAGCATGCTCTATGCGCTTTACAACTATTATTACCCCAGCAGACCCTCTGAGAACACTCAGAAACATTCTCGGCTTCCGCAGAAGCATACAGTGCAAGCTGCAGATTTCAAGCGCTCAAACACTATCAAACTGACAAGATCGTTCACTGTCTATAGCTGGGTACCAATTTCCACCTGGGTGAAGTGAGGAAAATTTGAGCAAAGTGCCTTTCCCAAGGACAAAACGTCGGGCCCCTGACGGGATTCAAACCCATGACCTTACGGTTGCAAGTCCACTAAGCCACCGACGCCACAGTACATGATAGGTACCTGACTTCAAGTGTGATGAGATCGAGAAGAAGAAGAGTGAAGAGGGTAAAAGATGTATCTGGACACAAAAGTAAAATGAATTATTGTAACAGTTTACAAAAATGAAACAAAAAAAAACAATGTCAGTACAGAACTGGGTTTCATTTTGAAATAAAGTCAATAGGACATACTTCGACTTCCACTCCTTGTCCTTGGCATTAGGGTAGTACTCCCGATACGGCACCATGTGGTACTTGATGAACTTCTTCATGATGGTGATGTGCTTCTTGACGGGCGGTGCTAACATTTGCTGGGAATAGAGAGATGAGATAAAAGTTTTAAAAATTAATTAATATCATCTTTAACTTCCAGCTGGCTAATAATCATGATGTCAGGTTTTATGATGCTCTGCAGAGAGCCTCATTGCAACAATAAAATCTGAGACAGGGGCTCGAATTATGACTCAAGATTGTTTTTGCTAGAATCTCACAAATATTTACTGGAAGCATCACTCTCTGGCAAAAAATCTCAGGAACTCTTCAAAAAGCAGCTAAAAAGACTCCAAACTATCATCAAGGCCAAACTTTGTCTAATCTTCATACTAAATAATATAACTTCAGCTAGTATGCGCTAGTTCACCAAGTGAGTCAATAACACAATTCAGCTAGGATGCGCTAGTTTACCAAGCGAGTCAGTAGCACTATTCAGCTAGTATGCGCTAGTAGTAACACTATTCAGCTAGGATGGGCTTCTTTACCAAATCCTTCACCAGCTCCGAGGTGTAAGCAGCCGTGTGGTTGGGCCTGGACATCAGGTACTGGGTCACTTCAAACAGTTTGCTCTTCAGGTTGGCCGGAGTGGCGCGGTAAAATCGCTTGAGGTGGAGCAGGCGGGTCTGGTGCTTGGTGAAGCCTTCAAACGCAACGGTGAAGTCCTGAGAGAGAGGGGAAACTATATCGTCAGCGCTACTCCACAAATGCTGAGGTCGTTTTCGAAGTTTTGAAAATATTTTAAGTTTTAGTTTAGGATGGGGTTTTACGGCGCTCGCAACTGCATAAGGTTATATGAAAATATTTTAAGAAAGGAGGGATCCTAAATGAGAGCCATGGCTTAGATGCTCGCTATTTTTCAATTAAAAACAAAAGGAGAAATAATGAAACAACAAAAACACATTGTAAGGTTGAGGAATAAGCATATCACAAGATTAGGGTGAAAAAGAAGTACATTAACAACTATGCTTGTCATTTTTAACACAGAAAAAATTGATCATCATCATCACCATCATCATCATCACATTTTGATTTTCTTGAAACATAACAAT